TAATATTGTTGAAACATCACTTACTACATTATGCACATCTTTCCCTTCCCTTTCACACACATGCTTTTATAATCACAACCTATCTTATTATACATTATATAAAACTCTCATAGCCCCCTTCAATCGTAACCAACATTAACCTCTGGACTCATATACCGCCCAGTTTTTCTAAATCATCTTCTAGTCTGCATAATTCACAACAAATTGCTCACCCGCAAACTCCTCCCAATATCCAAATTCAAATTGATATTCAAACATATACTCATACGCCACAATTAATAATTCAAAATTTACACTCTTCATTGTCTAATAAAATTCATAAAAATATATCATTGACCACACCAAAAATGTCCCTCTATTGTCTAATCTAGCCGTTTATAAAATATTAACTACAACACCTCCAAATAACCTCTAATCATTTCAATCGGTCCCATAAACTTTAATGTAGTTATTAACTAAAAATAAATCACCATTGTCATACTCTCTCGACAATTAATGTAAAATGATAAATCATTTGAATTTACATGCATTAAATATACCACTAATTAGTTTCCAATTAATGTCGTAAGTCCCACTCAAATTACCACCTATAAAAATATACATATTAGCTCCGTTTCTCTCACCTCCAGTGGACCCAATCCCTCCAGCCTTCTCTCCCTCATCCACAAGCCAAGCAACTCATCCAACCTTTGTCAATCTCGACATAGCTCTTGTAACTCTCTCCACTACTCAAAATGACATCTTGCTTCACCCTCAACTTTTGCTTCCCCCCACAACAATCATCATTTACAAAGTCGAGAAAAAAATAATATTAAAAAACCCCTCACCAAGCTCACTCTCACTACCTCCCTTTCACCCTCTCATGTGCCTAAACCAACCTCCATTTCACAAGTCATGGAACACCTTGAATGACATGATGCCATGTCGGAGGAGTTTATTGGTTTTTTACACAACACTTGAATCGTGTTCCCTCCTCATCTATCACAAATATTATTGATTGCAAATGGGTGTTTTACCTCAAACATAATCCTGATGGCTCTATCAATCGCTACAAAGCTCGTCTTGTAGCTAGTAGATTTCTTCAACGCCAAGACATTGCTTATCATGAGACATTTAGCCCATCCATCAAATCAATAATGATTTGACTTATACTTAGCCTGACCCTCTCTAACAGCTAGTCACTTAAATAACTTGACATTAATAATGCATTTCTTCATAGTCATCTCACTAAAGATGTCTACATGCTTCAATCACCAGCATTTTAGGATTAAAATTACCCAATGCATGTATGCCACATATAACAGGACATTTATAATCTCAAATAAGCTCATAGAGCTTGGTATCAACAACTTTATAATTTTCTTATATCCATCGATTTTGTTAACTCAAAGTTTGATTCATCTTTATTTATTTACTCACAATAACATCTTACCATGTATATCTTAGATTATGTCGATGACATAATTCTTACATATAGTGATGCAAATCACCTTCAACAAGTCATCAATAATCTTGCCTTACAATTCTCTATCAAAGACCTTGGAGATCTCTCTTACTTTCTTGGTGTTGAAGTCATTCCCTCCCCTCAATGTCTCTTCATTTCTAAACACCAATAAATCCAAGATCTTCTAGAAAAAGACCCATATGGCCAATGCAAATGAAGTCACCTCTACCTTGTCTCCCAATCATATGCCAACTATTCTTGATGGCACACCCTCGCTCAATGCAATTAAATATCACTCTATAATTGTTAGACTTCAATATCTCTCTTTTACAAGACTGGATATAACTCTTGTAGTAAACAAACTTTTACAATTTATCCACCAACCAACCTTAATACATTCGAGCGTGGCTAAGTGCATGCTTCACTATATTCGTGCCACCATCAATCATGGATTATTTTTACGCCGCCACTCCCCACTCTCTTGACATAATTTCTCTGATGTCGAATATTGTGCTATTGCTTTATTGCAATTAAACTCGCTTGGTTACAATCCCTTCTTCATGAACTTGGTGTTAAATTACCTATTATACCTACACTCTATTGTGACAATGTTGGTGCCACCTATTTATGCACCAATCTGATCTTCCATTCTCGAACGAAACACATAATCGTGGACTTCTATTTTATATGAGAAAAAGTTCAAAATGGAGATCTCCATGTTTCACATACCTCATATATTGGCCAACTTGCAAATGCACTCACCAAATCTCTATCTTGTGGTCGCCATAATCAACTTTGTGTCAAGATAGGTGTCCTCTCTTGGGACTCCACCTTGGGGGTGTAGAACTCAATAAGTTCTTGAATGGAACCTTTCGGTTCTTGAAGCAGAAAACAGAGAGGAGAATCTAAAATCTTATTATCTTGACTTATCATTACAGGGAAAGAGCTGGCCTATATATAGGCAAGTATAGAAATAAAGATGACAGCTACCAATGATCTAATGCCAGCTCATTAACACATAATTACAATTTTGGCTTACTTCCTAATATTCCCCCGCAAACTAAAGGGTCTTGCTTGACCGTTAGTTTGTTCCTGAGAGTTTTGAAACGAGGAGTAGATAATGACTTAGTGAAGATGTCAGCGGGTTGATCAATGATATTGATGGGAAGAATCTGAATTGCGTTGTGTAAAATATGATCTCGGACGAACTTTTGGTCGATCTCAATATGTTTCGTCCGTGCGTGGAACACCGGATTATTCGCGAGAGCAATTGCCGACATGTTGTCGCAAAAAATGTCAGTAGGAGTATCTTGAGGGATACCGAACTCGTCCAAGAGTTTGCGGAGCCAGAGGACGTCAGCTGTAAGTGCAGCCAATGCGCGATATTCTGATTCGGTGGATGAGCGGGCGACCGTGTGCTGCTTCTTTACAGTCCAAGAGATTAGATTTTCGCCTAAAAAGGAGCAGAATCCAGATGTAGACTTGCGGGTTGATGGGTCACCGGCCCAGTCGGCATCTGAAAAGGAAGTGAGGCGGAGATTAGATTTAGAAATGGGAAGGCCGAAATCCAACGTACCTTTGATATAACGAAGAAGACGCTTGAGGAGAAAGACATGCTGCGGCTGAGGATCTTGCATGTGTTGTGATAGGGTGTTGACAGTGAATGCGATGTCGGGACGGGTAATAGTTAAATACTGTAAGGACCCCGTGAGCCGGCGATACAAAACAGGATCAGAGAGCACTTCTTCTTGCTGAAATTCGGCTGGGAGCTTTGTGCAGGCGGGATTAGCAATCGAATTGCAGTGCTGGAGGTGCGCTTGGTGAAGTATTGATAACGCATACTTCTGCTGAGAAAGAAAGAAAAATTGTTTGTTTCGGGTAATGTGGATACCCAGGAAATTGTTGACCTCACCGAGATGTTTAAGAGTAAATTTAGCACCTAACTGAGCAATGATTTCATTGATGGCAGATAAGTTATTACCCGTAATTAAGATGTCGTCAACGTAGATAAGTAAAAATATGTGTGATTTGGAGTTTTGAAGTGTAAACAATGAAGGATCAGATTTACTGTTTCTAAAGCCGAGAATAAGAAGTTGTTGCGTGAAAGTATTATACCATTGGCGAGGAGCCTGTTTCAGACCATAAATAGTTTTGTGCAGACGACATACATAATCGGGATGGTTTGGATCTTCGAAACCGCGGGGCTGGCGCATATGAACGGTTTCTTGAAGTTGCCCGTGTAAGAAGGCATTTGCTACGTCAAGTTGCTGGACCTGCCAATTGTTATGTATAGCAAGAGCAAGTAAAATGCGAATTGTAGGTAGTTTTGCGACGGGACTAAAGGTTTCGGTATAATCGATACCGAATTCTTGGTTGTTACCCAACGCAACCAATCGAGCTTTGTATTTGGCTATTGAGCCATCGGCATGCTGTTTGGTGCGATAAGTCCACTTGCATCCTAATACGGTCGAGGCTGGTGAAGGTACGAGTGTCCAAGTTCCCTGTTTTTGCAATGCTAGAAACTCTTCTTCCATGGCTTGACGCCATTCAACCTTTTTCACAGCTTCTGTATAACAAGTGGGATCTGAATCTGGGACAGGCTGCTAATTGTTGTGAAAAAGATTGAAATGCTCTTTGGGTTTCAAGGAGCCTGTTTTGCTTCGGGTAACCATTGAATGATGGTTTTGCTGAGGAGCCGACGTTGAGCGATGTGTGTTGCTGGGACGTGGTGGTCTGGGCGACCTATTATCGTTGTGAGGCAATGCGGGAGGCTCACGGACGATGGGTAAAGAAGGCTGGATAGAAGATGGGAGGTTAACTGAGTGTTGTTGCACCGAAGTTGGAATGAGCAGAGCCGGTGGAGTTGGGGAATTTTGCTGATCGGAGGAGGCTGGGTTACCTGAGAAAGGAAATAATAGTTCATCAAAAATTAAATGCCTGGAAATAGTGACTTTGGATGTGGATACCTCCAAGCATTTGTAACCTTTATGTTTATCAGAATATCCAATAAACACACAAAGCTTAGCCTTCGGTTGGAGTTTATGATGTTCTTGAGGCGGTATTAGCGGAAAACAGGCGCATCCGAACGTGCGAAGATGAACGTATTCGGGTTTGGTGGCGTAGAGTAATTCAAACGGTGATGGTTTATGGTTATGCAGAGACGGCATCCTGTTAATTAAATAGACCGCGGTAAGCACGGCATCGGGCCAGTAGCGGTAGGGAACATTGGCCGTGTGTAAGAGCGATCGCGAAGTTTCTATTATATGCCTGTGTTTTGGACGATGCAATCATGGTATTGATGAAGTTTCTATTACAAGTTAGAGAAATGTCATAAATTACTTTATTGTGTTTTATGATTTTTTTAATACTTATCACATTAAGTTCTTATTCAATTAATGTGTTAATGTCATTTAAATTGGATGTTAATGTTCATTCAATTTAGATGCAGTGCATCTTTTTTTTTTAATATGAAATAATTGTTGTATTTATAAATATTGTAAAAGGCTTTAGTAATGCCAAGCGCATTACTTTCAAATTCAAAATTAATTAGATTTGAACAAAAAAAAAAAAAAAAAAGAATTGTATTGTAGGCTCGATTGATTTACACCATGGAGAGATGAGCAAGCGAGGAGGGAAACCGAAAAGCAGCGGGTCGGCGTCGCCGACATCATCGCCTGCGCCGGCGAAATGCGATGCGCTGCAGCGCGCTCTAATCGAGTGCCATCATCGCATTCAAGACGAACTGCAGCGCTCAATCGCTTGCCGTCATCTGAACCGTTCGCTTGCAGAGTGCCTTTTGTCTGCGTCCTGCCCGGAGGAAGCTGAGGCTGTTCGATCGTTGTGCTCGAGTGAGGCACCTCCCTCAAGAGATCTCAGTGCCGCGATGCCCAACTTTCCCTCTCTGTCTGCCTCGCATCTCGCCAGGAGCCCGATTAGGAAAATCCTAACCCTAACCATTTTGCTACCGCGCTGAGAAAGGTTTCATCATGGTATGAATTCTTTTTTATTGATTTTTTTTTTCTTTTGTTTATTTGTATGATTAGATTTGAATGCCATATTGTGTGGAACTGCCTTTGGTTCGTTGATATAATACTATGTGATTTTAAGTTCTTAGTAGATTTTAGTTGGTTTGTTTTGTGATATTTTAAGGGATATTTACATACATGATATAAATAATTCGTTTATTTACATATTTAAGATTTAAACTTTACTATTGACTTAACTTACCACCCCATGATCACCGTTGCTCCTATTTGCTATCCTGAATTCTTGCAAGACAAAGAAGAGGTGTGGAAGATATCAATGGGATCTCGTTAGCTACGGGATGGCTAGTGTGTGAATCCCCGCTCTCGACAATGAAGAAGAGATACGGAAGATGAGATGGGATTTGGCAAATGATCGGACCGACGATGTGTGAAGATTGGCAACAAAGAAGATATGAGGAAGTCATGAGTGGAACTTGTATAGGAGCACCAGGGAAGAGCATTGATGGGACTGAAGAGCTTGCAAATCTCATTGAGGAGTGACCGGGACAAGCTTTGACAAGACCAAACAACCTATGAAGGGGAAGCTTTGATGGAAATTAAGCTAAGTGATGATTATGTTTTTTTATTCTTATTTGAAGTCTCAAGTGTTAGATGAGTAAATTATAAAGTTTGGTTGTTAAATATGTAAATAGGATAATTTTAAGTATTATACATATGTAAATCATCCTATCTTTAGTTAACAATTGTGTAAATAACATTTCAGTTAGATTTTAGAGGGATTTACATACAAAGCATCTAAAACTATTCCTTTTATATATTTAATACTCAAATGTTACCATTTACTTATATAACATTTAGAACTTTAAATAAAAAAAAGTTACACTGACTTTTGTCAATGTCGTTGCTCCCATGGATGGCTCCCCAATGTTTTCTCGGTGATCCCTTCATTAATTCTTTATCACTAATCTTTGCACCCTGCTAGTTAAGTCACCACCTTTGTACGTCGTCAATTCATTGATACCCTTGCCAACAACATCCCGGTACTCCCAACATGATCCCGCATCAACTTCCTCACATCTTTATTGTTAAACTTTACGCATTATCAATCTCGTTGGCAATGAGATCTCATCGCATTTGCCATACTTCTTCGTCATCTAGGATTTCAAGAACAAGTATTGATGGCATTGATGGAAGTTAAGGTAAGCAATATTTTTGTTATTTAAAGTATTAAATGTTATGTGAGTAAATAGTAAAATTTAGGTATTAAATATGTAAAAACAAATAGTTTAAGGTGTTATTGAAGAGATGGTCGTGGTTTGGGAACAAATTGGGCGTTCATCTAGTGCTAGCAATCGTTCGCTGTGTGACCCTTCTTTAGACAAATTTGGCAGGTCGGAGCATTTGTAGGAGATTCTTTAGTTGAATTTGTAGGACCGTAAGAGCAACCTCGACTCCTTCTGCCACGTCCACAACTTGAGAACAGAACAGCATTGGAAGTGTCGGTCACGGCAAGACTTGCTAAATTCAACGCCATGTGAATCTCTTCGGTGATGAGGAAAGAGTACAACTGATCAAGATTTAGCGGTTGAGTCATGCTCCGAATGGACGCCTTGAAGGATTGATAGTTGGGAGGGAGTCCTCTGAGAATGTAAAGAATTGTGTCTTCCTCGTCAATGTGACCGCCGGCAACTGCAATTTGATCAACCAGCGACTTAACTTCATTTAGGTATTGAACCGTAGTTCTTGAGGGAAACATTGTGAAGTGCATTCTTTAATTGAATGACTTTGGATCTGTTCGTGGATTGGAATCAGGTTTGAAGGGTTGTCCATATAGCCAAAGTGGTGTCAAGATAGAGGACGTAGGGTAAGATGGAAGCAGATATGGTGGAGCATAGTGATGCGGCTAGGTTTTGATCATTTAGAACCCACTGAGCATATGAGGGATTTGGAACGGTCGTACCGTTAGCTCGGTGAAGGTTTTTGTCAGGAGCCGGAGACTGAGGATCAAGAAGTGATTCCAGACCATTAGCACGGCAGATTTTAAGGGTCTGCGAACTCCAGAGCGGATAGTTGTCCGGAGAGAGAGGATTCTGCACAGTGTTCTTGAGATTAGAGAGTACAAATTTGAGGGAAGAAGATAGAACCAGAGTTGTGGATGTAGAAGTCTCGGATTGTTCTCTGAGTGTGGAGGTTGTCGTCGACGCCATGGAGCCAAGATATCTGCAAGATCTGTCTGATACCATGAAGAAACTCATGATCCAGAGAATGCCAGGGAGATGGCTCAAGTACGCTCAAGAACATGAAGACAAAGAAGAGTTTAGAAAGAGAGATTGTATTTTATTATGTATCATCGGAATAGTACAAGCTAATATATATAGAGTTTAGACAGAGCAGTAACATAGATGGCTACATATAGAGACACACACTAATCTAAATACATATGGATTTATTGCTCTAATAGTTATGTAGATAAATTCCTCACATATGCCATCTAGATGCAGGCATATCTTGATCAAATTGAAAATATGCAGATATTGAACTAGCTAATTGTTAAGAAAGGTAGGGGTAGACCTAAAAAGACTTGGTTAGAAAATATTAGGAATGACCTTTCTTTATTAGATTTAAACGAGAATTTGACTTTTAATAGAACACAATGGAGAAAAAGGATTCATGTAGCCGACCCCACGTAGTGGGATAAAGGCTTGATGTTGTTGTTGTTGTTGTATTGAACTAGCTAATTGTTAAAATAAATTACTAAAAACCTAATTAAAAGCTCTGTTTAAAATTGCGCAATAAGAGGCGCGCCCATCTGCGTAATTTGACCCAAAACCGCCTCGAGGCTTGCGCAATTCCTCTCCTGGCAGAGGCGTACGCCTCACTTGGACTGAGGCGCGCCTCAGAGGCGCAATTGCGCAATTCTGGCAGAGGCGTACGCCTCATGGAAACAGGCCCACCCACTTAAAATGAAGAATTTTTCTTCCTTAATCCTGCACGGCTCCTAGTTCTCCCGAAAATTTCCTTCCCGCACACTGTGTTCGCGAAACAGAGAGCTCCCGCCCGTTGGCTTCCCTTCCCGCCGCTTCTCCCGCCGGCGCCGCCTCTCTCCGGCGAAGTTGAAGTGTTCGGCCGCCCTCTAGGAGTAATCCACAATTGATTTTAGTTTTTTTTTTTAGTTTAGGGTTAGATTTTTCAAGTGTAAGAAAATCTAGGGTTTATTTTTTTTTATTGTTTTTGTGTGTTTTTTGAATTTTGCTTTAGGAAACATGGTTAGAGGCAAAGAAAATGCGAATACGACATTTTGTACTTTGGGACATGATTTTATTGCATCTATTTTCTTACTTTCCACTATTTTCATGTATCATTTAGATGTTTTTATTGTAATATAGAATATTGTTATTATTTACCTGCTAAAACCCTTAATTTCTCATTTACGCAATTCTGTGTCCGTGAGGCTTACGCCTCAGACCGCCTCGAGGCTTACGCCTCGCCTCACGGATGAAAACCGCATCGAGGCTTAATTACGCAATTTTAAACCTTGATTAAAAGGATGAATATAAACTCACAAAAAGTTCAATATGATAGATTTTACACTATTCACAAATTGTCCTTACATCGATTACATGAATTCCATTTTAGTTTATGATGTTGCAATTACAAGAGATGACTCTTTAAATGGAAGGCCAGAATAGTTACAATCATGAAAGTAACAATTTTGCCTCCAAAACACTACATAAAATATACCCTTAGTGGAATCCACGGAAACAAGTAATAGATCACTAGCAGGGACTGAGTCAATAGCAATATCATACTCCATAAACCTTCTACACAAATGACTACAAAATAATATATTTTGATCGTCGTTGATTGTTCTAGAGGACATAACATTGTTCAAGAAATATAGTGTAGATCCAAATGCAACTTTCTTGATATATAAAGCTACAATTTGAATAAGATTGTTTCTAGTTAGCACTGCTATTTAAAGAACGTTGAACCAAACAACAATTTGAATTTTGGTGGAACTTTATGGGTGATTATGGATTTTAAGCCTTGTAGAGTGATGTCGAGTAGAGGAAGTTTACCCTTTTTTGTCATCCTGTTACCATAATATTTGTTGCTTTATTTTCTCTAGTAAAGTGGTGATGTACAATGCAACATATTATAGTTCTTTAGATATAGTTCTAGTTCAAATACATTGTAGGCATGGTTGAGATATGCTTAAGTGGGGGCGTGCCCAAGGAGCGAGTAAGGCTGGGAAAAAATTGCACAAGAGGAGAAGGCGACTAGGGATGCAGATCCGACGATTAAGGAGCATCGAGATTGTGAAACCGATGAATAAAGAGAGATGGGGAGTGCTCAGAATGCAGTTTTAGTGAGATTTTATGTTAGATTGTGATAGGAAATACTCGAGTTCACGAATAACCCTAAAGGGAAATACTTAAGTTCGCAAGCAAACTTAACAATAATTGGTGAAACAGCAAGAAATGATTTTAGAGAGGAATCAACAATACGACGCAGAAATTTCGGAGAATTGGAGAGAAAACACAAGGAAACTTCTTCTATTCAATCCACGAACAAGAAAAATAATACAAGATACAAGTTTCTTCAATTTGAGAGGAAGAAACAACTCTCCAAATCTCTAGCAAAGCATATAGCCCAAAAGAACAAACCCTAGATCTCAAATCTCTCTTCAAATTCAAGATGAAACCCTAATCCTCCCAAGGGAAACTGACTTAAAACAAGAGGACAAATAAATCCCCTAATCAATCCCTAATTCCAAAGTTCCCCCCCCCCCCAAAGTATCGTTTAATTAAGTTATGGGCCCCATCTCTCCAACCAGCCTTTCTCTCTATCTTCCCCTTGGTTCCACCCCAATATCCTGTAGCAAAGAATTGGTTGGACCGGTTCAGCTGACTCTTGGACCGGCCTTAACAGATTGTTAAAGTGGAATAATGAAAAATATCTATGCACAAGATCATGTGGTGCGCCCTTCTTTTTAAACTCCAAAATTCCATGTTAATTGGTTAAACTGAAAATAATAGAAATTTCTGATCGCAAGATATGTGGTGGTTAACCATTATGCATTGGGTGATTATGGAAGAGTTACCTGACGCATGTAGATGCCCCTTCATCAATTTGGACTACTGAACAATTTGGCAATAATGCTATGGGCATGATAGATTTATTCTTAAGTGATATTCAAAGTGCGAGGTAACAAAAAAGTCTCACCATAGGAGAAGACTGAGTATGCAAATCTATTTACTGAGGTTTATTGAGATGAGGAGGTTATTGGATCTCGACTCAAAGAGGCCGATATCAGAAGCTGATATCATGGGGAATGATGCAGATGGGGATAATGCATTGAGTGTAATGAAGCTTCTTCGCCTCCTTCGACAATGTCACGATGGGAGCTCGCTCGCTTCGAAGGTAAGCCATCTTTGTCCCTTTTGCGCACTTCTTCAGCCAAATCTCATAAATCTGTGGAATTCCGGGATTTAGTAAATACTGGATTTAAGCCAAAAATTAGTCAACTGCGGGTTTTCATAGCAATTATGAAGTTGAATTTTCTGCCTAAACTTCCTGGGCGGAAGTTTGCTCACATCTTCTAGATTTGCAGCTGCTATACTTAATAGCTGGGCATTTGTTCTGAAAATCTCCCACCTTTGTAGCCTTAGGGATGAGTGTCATGGGAAGATCATAATAGTAATTGAGATGTCCGACCTCAACAAAGAGATTAATTATTCTGTGTGGACGCTAAACGATATCCGGAGACCAACCAGAATGTGTCATGTCATCCCGTTGCTCGGTACCGCGGTTGGTAATGCTCAACACTGCTCTGTACTGTGGCTCAGTACTGCTGTTGTGGCGCATTCTGATTGGCCTCCAAATAGCACTCTGCGTCTGATCTCCGCACAAAATAATTTCTCCAACAAAGAAGGCTCCTATGACGATCAGCAAACTTCATCATCTGGGAATTTTGTTCACCGTCAACATTGGCAATAGAAGTCAATAGATACATAATTGGCCAAATTTTAAGAAGGATCGCTGTTTAAAATGCAATTAGGAGAAAGAATGTAATAAAGAATAAATTTAAAAAGGAGCAAAGGTACAAAATTGTTTTGCGTTTACTGTTTAAACAAAATATTTAACGAAAAATGCAAATGAAATTTGAGTTTTTAATAGAAAACGCAGAGCAATTTTGAGTTTTCTGTAAAAAACTAAAATTTCTTTTACATTTTTCCTTTCCACTTTTTTGCTTTGACCTATCTACTACTCCCCATTATCTCTTAATGCTGACCTGAGGGTGTGATTTATTTCTGAAAATTTGAAGGTTTGTTACTGCAGATTTGTTTTTAATTATGTAATTTATTGTTTTAAATTTTTTAGATTATATGTTATTAGTTAGTTTATTTGAGAAAATAATTTTTTTTTATATTGAAAATTGTTTATTATTCAAGCTTTTGTTATATTATTATTCAGTCATTACTTATATGTTTGAGTAGTGTTAATTTTTTTTATATTGAAAAATATGTCGGGTTCAGGTTGACCCATTTAGAGCTGGGTCAACTCGGTTTCGACTCGAACCTAACCCGTCGACCTGAATTGACACTCTTACTTATCACCTTGTTTTACTATTGTTTTCCTTAATTATGGAGAAATATATATAATTTTGCAATTATTGATTCACATTAATATAATAATTTTTCTAAGTAAAAAAATTGTCTCACATGCATTACTCTTTTAAATTTAATTCATATTTACACGGCATATTACATGTGAACTTTTTTTTTTTTTTGGAGAAAATTAGTTGTGACAGCCATTTTTCCCAATTACATGCCAAAGTCCAAACCGGAATATTTTGTTGATTGTAATGAAAATTTTCTCAGCGCACCAATCCAAAAATTTTTTTCTTATAAATATCTTTTCTATATTTATGATATATTAATGACACAAAATGTAATTTAGGAAAAGTTTTATACTAATTTTGGCTGAAAGATCATTTGAATAATTTCAACCGTCCCTTTTTCCAACCTTTGCCCCCTCCCGATTCTCTCGCGCGCGCGCTCTCTCTCTCTCTCTCTCTCTCTCTCTCTCTCTCTCTCAGGTCTCAGCTCCGCCTTCCTCCTCCTCTGTTTATTGAACCTCTACCGCCGTTCCGACGTCGATCTATCCCTACCGCCGCCTCGATGAGCAAAGCGAAGGATGATCGCAGCCTAATCCTCAGCTTCTTCTGGAACTGCGCAAAATCAAAGCTCCTCCTCACAACCCTCTTCTTCCTCCCCTCTTTATTCACCCTTTTTCACCATCTTCTCCCTTCGCTTTCCTCTTCCTCCTGCCTCCCATTCCCTCCTTCTCCCACTCCTCCTCCTCCTCCGCCTCCGCCGACGTTCACCCCCTCCTCCTCCCTACCCTCCGGCGCCATCATCCGCTCCTTCACCCCAATCGGCTGCGCGGCCCACCTCTTCATCCTAATGGGCTCCTACCGCTCATCCTCGTCCTCCTTCTCCATCATCGGCCTCTCTTCCAAATCCCTCCACATCTTCGGCAAACCCCTCTTCCGCTGCGAATGGCACTCTTCCCTTCCGTCCTCCCCCATCCCTTCGTCCGATTCCTCCAAACTCCTCCCAGATTGGGGCTTCGGCAGGATCTACACCGTCATCGTTCTCAACTGTTCTTTCCCCTCCCTCATTCCCTCCTCTGGCGGCCACCTCCTCCTCTTCTCCTCCCCTTCCCCTTCCTCCCCTGAAACCCCCACCATCACCCTCACCGAATCCCCCAACCAATTCAATCTCTCCATTCTCTCCTCCCCCCCAAAATTCGATTACCTCTACTGCGGATCCCCTCTATTTGGCAATCTAAACCCTAACCGAATCCGGGAATGGATGGCCTACCACGCCCTCCTCTTCGGCCATCGCAGCCACTTCGTCTTCTACGACGCCGGCGGGGTCCACGAAGATGTCCTCCAAGTGATACGGCCATGGATAGACAAAGGATTTCTGACATTGCAGGATATAAGGGATCAAGAACAGTTCGATGGGTATTACCATAATCAGTTCTTGGTGGTGAATGATTGCTTGAATATGTATCGATTTGAAGCGAAATGGATATTCTTCTTCGATGTGGATGAGTTCGTTTACTTGCAGCCGAAGCTTAAGCTTGATTCGTTTATGAAATCCATGGAAGAGTACGCACAATTCACTATTGAACAAATGCCTATGTCTAATCAGCTCTGCCGAACCGAAGATGCTGGCCGCACTCACAGGTAAATAAATTTTAACAAAAGAAAAAAAAAACTATTATTTTGCATTCATGTCTACTTTTTTTTTTTCAGTACTTCAAAATTTTACGGGGATTTACATATATTACACTCAAATTATATAACTTATATAATTAACATTTATATTTTATTATTTACATAATATAGAATTCCATTAACTTTCACCGTTGGACGTTGTTGAACACCAAAAATAGAAAAATGAGGAAAAGAGCAAGTCACTACGTAATCTCACAAAATAAGGAGATATTATTTTGTGGGTCTCCAGATGGTCTGAAGGCGAATTAGGATGCGCTACATCATCTGGTACACAGCTAAAAAGTGACGTGGCACATCCTGATTCGCCTCCGATAACCACACAATCACCAAAATAAGATAGACTACAGGTGAAATATGAAGAAGGGGAAGGGAATTCACGAGACCGACGAACCAACGAGGAAGTTGTAATGGGGAATTCACTATCAAAGAGGTCAGCTGTGTGTGTGAAACACTAAGGGATCAACGGGGAAGTCTCGGCAAGTGATTCACTTCACATGTAGTATGATTAGGAGGACAAGGAGACCAATGAGTAATGAGACTTTGAGTTTAGCTGACATATTTGAAATGGAGGATGTTATTTTTTTTGTTGTTTTAAAATTTTTTGTGCTTTGAAAATAAATAGTAAAATTTAGATTCTAAATATATAAATAATATAATTTGATATATATGTAAATCCCATAAATTTTGTTGCTATTGATTTAAATGGTGATGGTTTGTCCAAAAAAATTGAGCTGGTTCAGATTTGCTCTAAAATGAATTTGAAAATTATATGATGAGCATTCATATAAACGAATGATTTTTTTTTCTCATTGGAATTTTCTATTTTTTATCTTAGAAATAAATTAAATGAGCAATTTTAGAATTTTGAAATTAAAAATCACTAAGAGTAGAAATAGCTACCCCTTTGATGCTTTGATGTTTTATAATAAAAATTTATTTAAAATCATACCACATTACATAATCACATAATCTTGTGTCATTAAAAGTATGGGGGATTTACATCCATGCCATTTTATAACAACTATTTTATATATCTAATATTTAAAATATTAATATTTCATTCTTACCATGCAAACACAATTTTAACATCAAATACAGCTAATATCTCAAAATATGTTATGGATTGATTGGATTTGATTTTTTGGAGTATTTTTCTGTTGGTTGCTAGTCAATTCTCTTTTCCACGCGGGTTAGGGCTTAGCTTTGACAAGTTTAATAGATTTATCGCTTTGGCCTCTCGTCTGTTGGATTTCAATTGTCTTTTTACAAAGCTAATTATCTGCAGTTGAAACATCATAGGTGTTTCTAATTTTTACAATTTTTTGTTATTGATCTCAATTTTGATAAAAGTTCAGTTTACGGCTACTTAGTTTTGATTTTTCATTTGTCTGTAAATAAAATTTAGCAGTTACAGCTAGCTATGCATGTTGATTTTAGAAATTGTAATGCTACTCCCCATAGAAATATGGACTTTGATTTAGATCTAAAATTTATGAAACAAACTTCTTATGAAAGGGCAGATCTTTTATCCAATAAGACTCTTACGCCAATGATAAGATTTTATTAGTTATGAAATATTTTACTCCATTAAGTCCTTAGTAACAAGTATATAACACACATTTCAAGTGATAATGATTGTAAAATATCTCATAAATAATAAATCTTATCTTTGCAATAAGAGTCTTATCTAGTAAAAAATTTGTTCTTGCATAAAAATCCTATTTCATAAAATCTTAAATCTAAATCAAAGTCCATATTTATAAGTGGAGTGCACCATTATAATTTTCGAAATCAACATGCATATCTAGTTGTAACTTCTAAATCATATTGGCAGACAAATAAAAAAAATCAAAATAAAATGGTCTGAAACTAAACTTTTGTCCAAATTGAGATCAATAACGAAAACTGTAAGAATTAGAAACACCTATGATGCTTCAACCGTAGATAATTAGTCTTTGCGAAAAAATAAAATTGAAATCCAACAAACAAGAGAGGTCAAAGTGACAAATCTCTCGAACTCGTCAAAGCTCAGCCCCAGGCTGTGTGGGAAAGAGAATTGATCATCAATAATTAAAAACACTCCAAAAAATCAATTCCAATCAATCTAGAACATATAGGGGCTATACTGCATCACTTGCAAACAAGAGTAACCCCACAAACATCCCATTTACACAAAGTAACGGGGTTTAGGGCAAGCAAGAAGACATGAGAGCAGTCTGATCATGCGATGTTATATATGTAAAATAGCTATATATGTGTTGCATCGAGTATTCGCGGCGGTAGAGAAATATAAAGTTTAACGTCTTATCGTTGTACGAAAATCCTGCACGCAAAGATAAGAGAGTGTGTAGCATTCATAGGAGACACCAATATTTTTACGTGGAAAACCCTTGAAAAGGAGAAAAAACCACGGGGCCTAGTCCAGTTTGAATGAATCCACTAGTATTGCAGTTGATTACAAATGAGGCCCTTCCTTGAGAAGGCCTTAGCTTGATGTACATTTTTACTGAGTACATTACATGATTTGAATACAAAGAATCACTATTGACTTGTTCGTTTGGTCGGGAGGACCATAGTCTGGTGATATAGGTCAGAAAGATTGTAGTCGGCGGGTGAGGTAAGTCAGGAGGACCGTAGTCGGCTGGCGACGAAGGTCGGAAGGACTGTAGTCAGTGGGCGACGTAAGTCAGAAGGACCGTAGTCGGCGGGCGATGGAGGTCGGAAAGACTTTAGTCGGCGGGCAACGTAAGTCAGGAGGACCGTAGTTGGCGGGCGACGGAGGTCGGAAAGACTGTAGTCAGCGGGTGACGTAAGTCAGGAGGACCATAGTCGGCTGGCGATGGAGGTTGGAAGGACTGTAGTCGGTGGGCGACGTAAGTCAGAAGGACCGTAGTCGGTGGGCGACGAAGGTCGGAAAGACTTTAGTCGGTGGGCGACGTTAGTCAGGAGGACAGTAGTCGGCGGGCGAATGAGGTCGGAATGATTGTTGTCTAACGACGAAGGTCAGAAGGATGAAGTCAAATAGAAGTCCAACAATGGAAAGAAATCCATCTTCAGATAGATGTATAACGAAAGTCCAACAACCGGTAGAAGTCCGGCGTTGGGTAGAAACTTGACGACGAGTGAAGGTCCGGCGTCGGATAGAAGTCCGACGTCTGTTGGCGACCGAGGAGAACTCCAGCATCACTTGGGCGGAGTTTTGGCGTCAGGGGGGAACTCTGTCGTTACTTGGGATTTCAGCATCCCGTGGAAGTCGGGCAGAATTCTGACGTCCCGTGGAAGTCAGGTAGACTTTCGGTGTCCCGTGGATGTCGAGCAGAATTCCGGCGTCATTTGGAGTTTAGGCGAAACTCCGGTGGTGGTCGAGGAGGAGTCTCTTCCCTCCTATTCTTCTCTTCTCCTATTCTTCTCTTCTTCTTCTTGCTTCTTGCTTTGGTTCCCTCTCAAGAGAGATGAGGGGTTTATTTATAGATTTTATGGAGTGGCATGACCCGTAAATAGATGAGAGATCAGGGGCAAATATGGAGCGGTTAAAATGAACGACCGATATTGAATCCTTCGATCGTGGACCGTTTATCAGGCATTTGAAGGTCTTAATGACTTTGGAATTCGGCAATCTTGGGCTCGTTGGATTCGTCTCGTCGAGCCGCTCGATTCGACCATAAGCTCGTCAAGTTCAGAGACAGTTTGGTAACTCAAATTGTGGTATGAACTTTTCAACATCGCTTCGGGTCCTTGATTTGGGCTTGGATTGAGTTGAATTTGGTGTAGTTGGGTTCGTATTTCCGAGACGCTCTGTTTGATTGTAAGTTTGTTGAAATCGGAGTTCAGGTGATCCCGGATTTAATTTTTGAAGCTTCTGGCTTGATTTTGCCTCGAGATTCGTGCCCAATCATTTATGATGACATATCAATATGTATATATAATTTTTAATATTTTTAATATACTAAAATACTTTTTTATAAATTTAAATTAAACATAAAGTAATATTATTAGCTGTCGACGCACAAGATTTTTCCCTACAGTGTTTGCTAAATGCCTGACCGAAATCAACTTCAGAGAGCAAATCTATCAAGGAGGAAGCATTGGCTTGGAAACTTTAAGTCTTAAGTATACAAATTCTAAAGAATTTAATTATAATTTTAAAATTTTTAAGGGGTTTTATGGATACAAAAATTTTAGATTTATTTATATAATATTTTAGTGTCTAAATTATACCAAAATATATGTATAAAATATGCAAGTTAATTTTCATAAGCTAAAATTAATAGTATTTTTACTTTGATTCAAAAATTATGATGATCAATAAATAAATATATAAATTTAGATGTTATATATGTACATATGCCCCCCAAATTTTTTAGTAAGATTTACATACATAGCACATAAAATATTGTAATTTATATATATTAAACGCATAATTGTTATTATTTATACCATCTAGCATTTCGTAAACTTCGTCAAATGGTCTAATCGAAACTTGTTGAATGGCTTCTCCACGCGAACAATGGAATGTTGCAACACTATCAATTCCGCTATTGGGTTGTTGATGCCTTATCTCAATGAACTTGTGCATGTTGCTTCTCATTTTGACCTATCGATGCCTTCGCTCGTGAGCTCCAACGCAATTCCTCGTTTATTATTGATGATGGTTTTTATAAGAGTGGAAGAAATAGAGGGAGATTGAGAAGAGACCAATAAGGGCTTTTTTATTTTCAATGAAATGAGTTGTTTTTACTTTTTATTTTAATATTTTGAATGCTTATATTTTAGATGTCATGTATAGGGGCGCAAATGAGTCAAGCCGATTTGCGAGCTGGCTCAAGTTTAACTTATCAAGTTTTGAGCTTGAGCTTGTCAACTTAATAAGCTCGAGCTCGTCGGCTTATCGAGCCCAAGTTCGATCTACATTAAACTTGGCTCGATTACTCATCAAGCGACTCATCAGACATAAGTGAAACGACAAATGCTCATAAGGCGAAGCATGTTTATGCGTGTATGCAAACCTATGCGCTTGTGGGAGGAGAATCGCATCCACGAACCTATGCACACCCGAATCGTAGAATCAAGCTGCTCGACAAGCTCGTTTTCAATGGCACGAGTTGAGCTCGAGCTTAGGATTTAACTCGATAATCTAGCTAGAGTTGGGCCTGACTCAAGCTCGACTCGACTCTTTTGCACCCTTAGTCATGCACCCAATTTTATTTTGCCCCCATAAAACTGAAGAGGTAGAGGCACGGTGATGCCGGAGATGAGGAAGACGAAGGCAACCAGAGAAAACAGAGAAAAGCAAGAGAAGAGGGAAAAATTCTATTCGAACTTAATCAGTATTACCGAGCTATTTATATTGATTAATATAGTACAGTAATCTCAAGTGTAACATAAGCTTAAACTAATCATTTCTCTAATATCCTCCCTCAAATTAAGCGGTCTGAGGTTGAACGGTTAATTTGTGACGAAGGAAATCAAAGCGAGAGCTGGAGAAAGGCTTTGTGAGGATGTCTGCTGCTTGATCGTGAGATGCAATGTGCTGAATGAGGATGTTGCCCGAAGCAATATGTTGCCGAATGAACTGGTAATCGATTTCTATGTGTTTAGTCCGGGCATGAAACACCGGACTTTTGGCTATGGCGATGGCAGAAAGATTGTCGCAGTGAATAAGAGTAGGTGATGTCTGAGCGAGCTGAAGTTCGGACGCCAAGCGACGAAGCCAGAGGACCTCTGAAGCGGAGGCGGAGAGAGCACGGTATTCAGCCTCCGTGGAGGATTTGGCGTCAGTCACCTGCTTCTTGACGGACCAGGAGATAAGATTTGGACCGAGGAAAGTACAGGTGCTGGAGATCGACTTACGATCCGAGATGTCGGATGCCCAATCGGCCTCCGTGAAAGTCTGAAGTGTTGTGTCACCAGGAACAATGGGCAGACCGAAGGATTTGGTTGCGTGGATGTAACGAAGGATTCGCTTGAGCTGACTGAAATCAGTTGTAGTCGGATTTTGCATATGTTGACAAGCTTGATTCGTGGCACACGCGATATCCGGCATGGTGATGGTCAGATATTGAAGCGATCCTGCGAGACGGCGATACATAGACTGATCGTGAAACGGTTCTGAATTGTGTGGTGGATGTCTGGAGGTCGGAGTGATGGGAGTCGGACACGGTTTGCTGTTGAGAAAGCCGGCTTCCTATAATAACTTTTCGGCATAATGTTCTTGGTGTAGGAAGAAACCGGATGCAGCACGTGAGACCTGAATGCCTAGAAATAGATTGATTTGGCCAAGTTGCTTAAGAGCAAATTGGGAATGGAGAGTTGCCAGATCGCATAATTGTCGGAGGTGAGCGAGTTTGGAATCAGATTCTTGATATTTGAAATGATGAATTTAAGAGTCGTCGGAATGACAAGCTCCGTTGATTTATTAGAATCTTGATCCCCCATTCCTAGCTCTGATACCATGAAGAGGTAGAGGCACGGTGATGCCGGAGATGAGGATGACGAAGGCAACCAGAGAAAACAGAGAAAAGGAATAGGAGAGGGAAAAATTCTTTTCGAACTTAATCAGTATTACAGAGCTATTTATATTGATTAATAGAGTACAGTAATCTCAAGTGTAACATAAGCTTAAACTAATCCTTTCTCTAATAAAAACTACACCCTGTAGCTGTTCGTATAGCAGGGAAATTACCCCCACGGCCACACTGGTGGCTACACAGCGGATTTTATAATCATATAATAAAATAAACTGGCCGGCACCCAACCATAAACATAGTAGTTCAGTCAATCCCATAGATCGCCGGACAACAATCCGATATTAGCGGCGAAAGAATGGCGAAGAAGGCGGTACTAATCGGCTGTAACTATCCGGGGACGAAGGCTGAGCTGAAGGGTTGTGTGAATGACGTGCGACGAATGCATCGATGCCTGGTGGATCGCTACGGCTTCGAGGAGAGTGACATCAAGGTAATGATAGACACTGACGCCGCCGTCACCCAACCCACCGGTGCTAACATCCGCCGCGCCATCACCAGCCTTGTCCGCTCAGCGGAACCCGGCGATTACCTCTTTGTTCACTACAGCGGTCATGGAACCCGACTACCGGCTGAAACTGGAGAAGAGGACGACACGGGTTATGACGAGTGTATCGTTCCCTGCGATATGAATCTCATTACTGGTCCTGCTCTCCCCTTTGATTATACTTCACGAAATTGATTTAATGTTTAGTCGTATAATTTCTTTGGGATCTGTTAATTTTAGAGAGAATCGATGGGATGCAATGACTTAGGAGTGTGATTTTGGATATGGGGTTTGGGTTTAGTGACTAAATTACTGATAGTGATTTTATTTTTTTACTTTTATTGTTAATGCTTGATCAGATTGTCTTTTTTCACATTTTCAGTACATCCATACAGGGCTTTTTTTACTATCAATACTGTGACTGAATTCCTCAGTTCTAGGCTTGTTTACTCTCAATCCGCCGCCAAACCTCGCTCATGGGTAGTCTACCTTGCTCTCAGTCCGCTTGAACCCATACAATCACAAGACCACTATGCTGCCAACAATATCTCGATCACTTTGCCTCTCTATTAACCAGTGGTGTTTCTCATATTATGGTTTGGTTTTTGTGGATCCTCGTACCTAGGGGGTTGGCGCATGTAAATATCATCTGGTAGATCCCCGTGAAGAAATGCGTTGGAGACATCTAACTGTAGCATGGGCCATTTGCTGTTGACGGCAAGGGTAAGAAGCATACGGATCGTGGTCATTTTAGCAACCAGGCGGAATGTCTCGGTGTAATTTTCACCGAACGTTTGATCATATCCCAGTGCAACTAACCGAGCTTTGTAGCGATCAATTTGTCCTGTCGGTAGCAATTTGGTTTTGTATGTCCATTTGCAGCCAAGTATTCTTTTGTTGGTCGGGACCGGTACAAGCGACCATGTGTTTTGGTTTTGAAGAGAATTGAATTCAGATGTCATTACACCTTTCCAGTGATCATGTTTTGATGCTTGCTTGAAGGTGGTGGGAGTAGGAGGTATATTTATCTGGCTGGATAAGGTAAACATTTGCTTGGGTTTGTGAATACCTAATTTGGATCGAGTTTGCATCGGATGGTTTGGCTGTTGAGTGGTGGTCGGTTCGGTATAGAGTTGAGAGTTCGGAGTGTCACCTGAAGTAGGTGAAATCATCTCTGGTTAGTGAGTACTAGTGTTGTTTACTGGAGAAGTATTTGGCGAGCTGTTTGGTTGCGGTGAGGTAGAAGTTGTGGATGCAGGGACAAGCAGTAAGGGGGTGTGAATTAGCTGTTTGTCTGTCGGATGAGGTGTGTTTGAAGATTGGTAGCTGGCGTAAGGGAAAATGCTTTCCTGGAACACAACGTGTCGCGATATGTGAATTTTATGAGTGTTCAAGTTGTAGCATTTGTATCCTTTGTGACACGGTGAATATCCTATGAATACACATTGTTGTGATCTGGGGGAAAGTTTTGATGCAGCGTATGGTTGGAGCCATGGGTAGCACAGACACCCAAAGGTGCGAAGATGAGAGCGGTAGGGGATTTGTTGTAAAGAATTTGGTGAGGTGACTTTAGTGCAAGAGTTTTGGAAGGTAAACGATTTATTAAATAGTTTGCGGTGTCGATGGCATCAGCCCAGAACTGATATGGAAGTTGAGCGTCGTGCAGGAGGGTTCGGGTGAGGTCTAGTAGATGTCGATGCTTGCGCTCGACCATGGTTTAAAATTGCGCAATATGAGGCTCGCCTTGAGGCCTGCCTTTGCGTAATTCCAGTAAAAAATGCCTCACGCTATATATATTAAAACTTACGTAAATCTTGAAGTAAATGCCTAACATTGGACTCTATAGGAGAGGATGAAGGGGAGAAAGCAGTTCATCATAATGATGATTCAAATGAAGAACCCCTTAGTGATGACAGTGCTGATGACTTATGAGTTCTTATGTGATATATCATTGCTAATTATTTTTGGAAATTGGAATTATATGTTAATGAAAAGAATAATGGGATTTGGGAAAGATAGAATTTTGAGTTGAAATATATTCATGTTATCTTATTATTGGGATATTTTGATTTCATAAATATCTTATGTTTTTTTATGTTTTATATTATTCACTCATTAGTATATAAAAGATTTATCATTTTATGTTTACGCAATCTTTTGAATTTGAGGCTTACGTCTCAAAACGCCTTGAGGCTTACGCCTCGCCTCATGAATGAAAAACGCTTCAATACCCGAATACGCAATTTTAAACATTGCGCTCGGCTAGACCATTATGCCCCGGTGTATGCGGGCAACTAAATTGGTGAATTATGTTATGTGTCTGGAGAAAGAGAGCGAATTCGGAGCTGACAAATTCCCCTCCACCATCTGATCTAAAGGTTTTCGGTATTGCATTGAATTGATTTTGGATTAAACTACAAAACAATTTGAATTTTGTGAAAGTTTCGTGTTTATAATGCATGAAATAGAGCCATGAAAAACTTGTAAAGTCATCAATGAAAACTACAAAATACCGAAATCCAGCTAATGAAGATGTAGGTGCAGGTCCCCACACATCCGAATGAATGATTTCAAAAGGATGAGTGGTGACCGAGCTTCATTTCTTTAAAGACTGTTTGTGGCTCTTAGTCATATTACAGGATTTACAATGAAAAGAAAAAGAAATATTCTTGAATTCTGAGAAATTGCGAGCTAAGTGGTGGAGGATCCGATTGTTCGGATGTCCGAGTCTAGCATGCCAGGTAGAAGAAGAATTGGTGTTGACGTGAAATGCTTTTGGGTTGCTGTCAGGCGACATGTTGAGCTGATACAATCCATTAAGGAGATGTCCACGAAGCAGAGGACGACAATCCTGTAAATCCTTAATTTCAAAGCCATTAGAATCAAAAGTAATAGATATAGAATTGTATTAGTAAGTTTTGACATGGATAGAAGATTATGTGTTAATGATGGCACATGTAAAAGATGACAAATACGAAGCTTACGAGGGGTATCTGGTAACGGGAGCAAACCTTGACCATAGTTGGTTGGACGAATTTGTTCTTGGAGAACTGGCGTTGATTGCGATTCTTGTTCTGATTGTGCGAGGTGGCGTAGAGAGCAGAGGCGGATGAAGTTATTGCTTGATCTTTTTGAATTTCTAGATCTTTTTGAATTTCTTGATTTATATGTAGCTCTTCGCTGCAAAGAAGAGAATAAAGATTATCGAGATCGGCGGGTAAAGAGGATGTTCGTATGGCTGTCGTGAAGGAGTTGTAAGATGCCGGTAGTCTGTTCAAGATGTACAGAACTATGTCTTCCGGATCGATCTTGGTACTCGCAGCGGCAATGTTATCCACGATGTTCTTGATGTGGGATATATATTGTTGCATTGTGAGATTGTTCATTTGAACATGATGTAGTTCGTTCTTGAGTTGATCACTCGAGAACGACTGGAAGATTGTAGCCAGCGTTCGAGCATCACCTAGACTTCTTGGGTGGTTGCAGACGTAATGACGTAAGGAAGAAGCGTGCGAGAAATCGTTGAGAAGAGGGCTGAGATAAGATTACTATCTATGAGACGCCACCGTGTGTATTCTGGCGAATGCTGATCGGCTGGAGGAGTAGCTTTGCCGGTGAGATAGTCTGCGTAACCATTTGCAGAGAGATTCTGAAAGATTTGTATTCGTTATATCTCATAATTATCGGTGGTGAGGGAGTGAGGGATGAGATTCTTGATGTTGGATATGATAAATTTGAGCGATGCTGGGATGGTGAGGTCGTTAGTTGTGCCGGCGAGCGTGGAGGTGGAGGCGGGAGGGAGGGAAGAAGCTGATTCTTGATCTCCCATTTCCTGGCTCTTGATACCATGTGAGAGATCCACAGCCGAGAGAGAAAGAGAGAATACCGAGCAAGATAACAGAGAAGGATAAATGTATATCTCCTTATAATCAACTAGTTACAAGTATTTATAAGAAGAATTAGGTAAAGAAGTAAATAAGTCACGGTACAGTATAAGCTATAATGAACTATAATATGCTATCAGTCTCGACTTCACCTTAACCCACACAAATTTCTCTTCCCTACCCATATCATTGGCTTCATGGATAGGATGCACGAGAGAAATCACTTTGATACGGTAAACTAAAGATGTTTTGAATGAATGACCGATCTCTCTTCTCCAATCACCTCAACATAGTTTTTCTAGTGTTAAGACCACTTCATTTGAGTGGCATTACAAATTAGGCCATACATCAATGTTAATCTTCAATCACATTGTTTCTTGATTCAATCTAATTATATCAGCCCCACTTTCATCAACTCTTCTTTGTAATATATTCCAATGCAATAAAAGTCATAAACTTCCATTACTTAACATCTTCTATTGTATCTTCGTAGCCTCTTGAGATATTATTCTTTGATATGTGGACTTACCTATGCTATCCTATGATGGTTTCAAAAACTATGCCAATTTATTGATCACTATACCAGATACATTAGTAGTATCACTAAAGCAAAAAATCAAAGTTGATGATGTCTTCGATATCTTTAAAACATTAGAGGGAAAATGCTTTGATTGCAAAGTAATTACCTTATACTCTGACAATGGTAGTGGGTATCAAACATATTATCAAAAATTGTCTCTCTTATATCATGCATCTATTCCACCTTCCTATTGAACACATGATTTTTCCATTTCAATCTACCTAATAAACTAGTTGCACACAACCACATATATCTCTCTTATCCATATGAACACCTATTTGGCTCGCCTTTTGACTATTCAAAACTTCTTATGTTTTGCTACCCATGCACATATGGCTTCACCCATACAACACATAAATTTTCAACTGTGACCATAGCTCCATCTTGACGAGGCATGTAAATAAATAAATTCATAAATATTATAATTATTTATTTCTTATTTTAGTTTCCTATATTTATTTCAGTTTCCTATTGGAGTCTCCTATTTATTTATTTCAGTTTTCTTCCAGAGTTTCTTGCTTACATTTGAAATTTATAAAGATTCCTTTCACAGCCTTACACACTTTTATATATTCTCGATATTTATATCAAAATGATCAAGCTATTATTGAAACCTTCTATGACATGACCCTCCTTTCAGCCCTTCTAGAAATTTTGGAGGACTTTGTGAAATGGATGTCTTTGTCAGCCTCT